GTTCTAGGCTAGCTTGGTCTACAAAGCAACATCACACGAGAGAAAGACAGGAAAAGAGGGAAGGAAATAGGAAGGTGGGGATAGAGGGAGGAAAAAGGAAAGGAAGCATGAGGGAGAATGACAGAGAGGTAGGCAGGGAAGAGAAGACAAGAAAAGGAAGACAACAGAAATAAAGAGATTGAATGATGCAGGGTCAGGTGATAACTTCTGCTTCCCGCCAGGCCCCAGCTCTCATCTACGAACACTTCCTGGGTTTTCTGAGTATAATCCACTTAACTTCTGAAGGGTTGGTGAAATGGTTTAGCAGGTGAAGTGCTTGCCAGGCGAGCCCAAGGATGTGAGTTGGATTCCCAGAATCCACACAGAGGTAGAAGGAAAGAACCAGCTCAAAGTTGACATGTGCCCTCCCCCACAACAATAAGTTAAAAAGAAAAAACTTAATTGGACCATAACTCGCTATGTAACTTGAGCTTGCAGCATACTAGAGACTCCCGTGAGAAGGAAGAGAAGCTATGGCTTTTCTTATAAAGGTCTCAAAAAAAAAACCTCAACTCTATCCGAGACAACTATGATTCTATAATGAAATCTCCAGATATCTAATAGAATAATTTACCTTCAAAAAGAAGCTAAACGGAGGTGTGGCAGCCATGTCTGCCATCCCAGCACTTGGGAGGCTGAAGCCAGGTAGGGTAGCAGAATAAGTATCTGTATCAAAATGACAATGATGATGATTAAAAACTAGAGTTGAACACAGTGGCACCTGCCTGATCCCAGCACTCGGGAACGGAGTCAGGAGGGGCTGAGAGCTGGAGGTTGGCCGGGGTGGAGAGGAAATTCAAGGCTAATTTAGGCCGTGTCTTGAGATCCTGTTTCAGACAAAACAAAACAAAACTTAAGGAATAAGGGAATACGTCTTTTATTTTACTTTTCATTCTCTTTTTGAGTCTTGCTGTGTATAGCCTATGAGACCTTGAATTCACGGTATAGACCGGGCTGACATGTATGTATGTATGTATGTATGCATACAATATTCTTTCTGTGTGTATGCCTGCAGGCCAGAAGAGGGTACCAGACTCATTACAGATGGTTGTGAGCCACCATGTGGTTGCCAGGAATTGAACTCAGGACCACTGAGCCATCTCTCCAGTCCCAGACCAGGCTGACCTTTAACTCAGTCTTCCTGTCTGTCTCCCAGGTGCTAGTCTTGTACCATTATGCCTGGGGTTAAGGGAATTTATTATTATTGATAAACAAACACTTAAAAACTTAGACAAAGCTGTTGATGACAAAGTAGTCGTTCATCTGTCGCCCCGCAAACATTGCCTATGCTCTTCCCTTGCTTTACTGATGAGATTGGGACGCTCATTGCTTCTATCAACTTATCATTCCTTTTCATTTGGAGTCTTTAAATGTCCCTCCTTCTAATTATTTGTAACGATGTGACATGTTACTATGAATTAAGGTCACCCCAAAGCGTTTCAAAAAGCAGAATTTATTATTCCCACCCAAGTGTTTCAGGTGTGGAGGTCAGAGGACAAATTTTCAGGTGTTTCCTGCCTTTTGTCTGATGCAGGAGTGTTCGCTGACCTGGAACTTTGCCAAGTAGGCTAGACTACCTGGTCGACAAGCTCCAGTGATCCTCCTGTCTCAGCCTCTTATCTGGGCACTGCTGGAGTTATAGGCATGCTCCATCATACATGGCTTTCCCATGGGGGTGTCTAAAAATGGGTTTTTACACTTGCAAAGTAAACATTTTACCAACTAAGGTATCTCTCCAGTCCAGATATCCATAAGATTTTCACACACCAATAAAAAATCACTAATAAGCAATCTCGTTCATGATCAATATAAACCTTACAAAACAGCACCAAAGACTCTAAAGATAAAAAACACAGGACACCTTAAATGAAAATTTAAAGAACACCAATGAAGATACTAAAAAGGACACACAAAAATACAAGTATTCCCATATTCAAAGCTTGGAAGAATGAATAGTTAAAATACTGATACTACCTATGAAATTCCCATCCAAATACCGATCACATTCTTTACCAAACTAGAAAAATAATCTTAAATAGTCAAATCCATCTTGGAAAAATGGCTCTTGCCATTTTTCTACCCCACTTCTTCTGTGATGGTCCCTGAGCCTTGGGTATGTGGATTGTTTCTTGAGGCAGAACTTGTTTTGAGGGTGTGTGTGCATGTGTGTGTGCGTGCGTGCATGTGTATGCGTGTGTGTGCATGTTTGTGCGTGCGTGCGTGCGTGCATGAGTTTGTGAGAGTGTGTGTGTGTGTGTGACTTTCTCTCCCCTCACACTGCCACTTCATAGGTCCATAGCTAGGTTAGCTAGCTGTGAGCTTCCAGAAGACTCTCCTCTCTTTGGGTTTTACTTCCCATAGCTGTGCTTTGATTACAATGCTCACCACCACATCCAGCTTGGGTTCTGGGGATTGAACTCAGGTCACCAGGATTGACTCACTGAGTTTTGTCCCCGGTCTTGCTTTGATTTTTGAGACAGGTCTAGCTTTTGTCACCCATCCTGGCCTCAAACTCATGTTATCTTCTTACCTTAATTTCTTGAGTGCTCAGATTAAAGACATGAGCCACCATGCCCAAATATGGTTGGTTGTTTGTTTTTGTTTTCCGAGACAGGGTTTTGCTGTAGCTTTGAAGCCTGTCCTGGAACTAGCTCTTGTAGACCAGGCTGACCTTGAACTCACAGAGATCTGCCTACCTCTGCCTCCCAGTACTGGGATTAAAGGTGTGCACCACCACTGTCCAGCCCAAATATGTTTTTTTTCTCTCTGTGTGTATGCCTGTGCATATGCAAATGGATGTGTCCATTACACATGTGGAGACCAGCGTTTGCTGTTAGGTGTCTTCCTTAGTCCCTTTCTACCACATTTTCTGAGATAGGGCCTCTCACAGATTTAGCTAGGCTGGTTAGTGAGCAAACTTCAGGGATCTGCCTCTCTCTCTCTCTCTCTCTCTCTCTCTCTCTCTCTCCCTCACCCCCCGTAACACTTACTGCCACACCAGCTTCTTATGTGGGTACAGTGAACTCAGGTCCTCATGCTTGTGCGGAACTCACTGACCAAACTATCTTCTGATCTCCCCAGACCCTTGGTGTTTGTTTTGTGAGCTGTTTCCCAGGTTTCTGAATAAGGACCTCACTAACTGTGCTCTGGACTGTAACTGCCTTGCCAGACCTTTCTAACTTCTGGTTTTTATTCCATTCTTCCAAATTACAATTCAGCACCAGCCACAGTGAGATCCTCAGTATTATCTCCATGTTTCTCTGAGAGGCCCTGACATGGGACTCTGCATTTAATTATTTGGTATGAGCAATCACTGTTTTTGCTAACCGTGCCTGTTCTAGTGCCCACTGCAAACAGGTGTTTGGTATTTAGACATTTAAATCATTAACATTTCAAATTACATGGTAACAAATCAAATTACATGATTTGGAACTATACAATAAACTAGCAAAATGTTCATTACCAGCCAGTTTGGTGATGTAAACACAACCTCACATCTCCTTGAATGGGTGATAGCACATGAAGGGAGAGAACTGCCTTCCGTGATTTATGAGTAGTAAACTTGAATTATCACCTGCATGTCATTTACTTAGAGAATAGGTTATCATTTTGGAGTCTTTACTTGTGCTCACATGAAGAATCAGAACCTCTAAATTATTTCTAGATCTGAGTAAACTGCATTCGCTTTGTAGAAAAAAGGGTAAGGGCTGGGGTACTGCTGAGTAGTACAGTTCCTACCTAGACCCAAAGGGCTTGTGTTTAGTTTCCAGAACTGTCAAAAATGACAATAAACTAATAATTACTGTTAGTATGGACGCTATAGGGAGTTTGAGGTCAGGGGACGTTTTTGTGAGCTAGTTATTTTTACCGTGAGTCTCCGAGACAGAGCTCAGGTTGTCAGTCTTGTGCGGCAGATACTTCTCCTGTGGAGCTGTCTTGTTAGCCCAGTGAATTGCTTTTGATGAGAGATGCATTCTGTCCTGCTTTCCTAGAGTGTAAGTCATTCAAAAGTTGATCTGGGTCAGTCTCCTTTTATATTTTGCTCCTGAGGCAACTACACCTTTGAATGCTAAGAATATTATGTACATGAAGATGCTAACTGTATTTTATTAAGGAACTGAGACTATGGATGCTGCTATAAAACTTTTGTAATAAAAGAGTTATAAAGTTTTTGTAATTTATGTAATTATGTAAAATTTAATAAATTCTGTAATTTATTAAAAGTCATAAAACTTCTGTAATTAAAGACTCACAGTCATGACTTACAAATGCGAGATGCTAGCAAGTCCTAAAATTAGTGAGAAGATTTTACAGAAGAAAAGATATTTACATGTCAATAAATAGAGTAGAGGGCAACAGAAGCAATGATCAGTGCTCACCATTGGCTGCTATATGTGCATGAATGAGTACTCACACCCCTCCCACATAAACCTTAGATAGACAAAATGAGGTACTTTTTAAAAAAGGGCTCTCAAAGCTGAAACACAAACTCAGCATTTCATCCTCTTATGTGTCCTCAAATGGATACAAAGATAAGACTATGTATCAATAACCACAAAGGATGCCTAAGAAGCAAGCAAGCAAACTGTAAGGTGCTCTGAATGGACGATAGCAGACAGAAATGGTCCAGAGTGCGGTCAAAGGGAGCTCTTCCCTGGCGTGATTGACAGCGTGCTAAACAGGGGTGGGAGAAATGGCTCAGGGCTGACAGACGGTAGCAGCATCGAAACACCTGAAATACCGTTAGCCCCTTCGTGACCCTGACCTTTCTTGATTCCCCGTCGGAGCATTATTAGAACCAGGAGGTCCCTCTGTATGAGGCCAACTCTGTTCCGCTCTCCCCATTTGTAAGTATCTTGTACCAAAAAAACGAAACCTCGACCAGAGCTGGCTCTCCTGGCTGGAGGAACCGAGGTCTCAGCAGCGCCCCCTTGCGGCGGGGGCCGTGTTTGCTCTCTTACCTGCGCTCTCCTCGGCCTGGTTGAAGCCGCAGATCTGGCAGATACTCTGGACCCACTTATTCATGTCGGCCTCTGTCTCGGCCACCAGGTAGAAAGTGCGCTCGCTGGTCTTGATGTCGAACACGAAACTGTCCTGCAGCTCCTTCTTGTTGAACGTCAGGCCCGCGTCCACCTGCTCGCAGAAGTTCAGGTTGATGATCCGCAGGGGTTTCTTGGCGTGCTCGTTCTTGTAGTATTCCAGAACATCTGGGTCGCCGCTCATCCGGCCGCTCCGCAGTATAAACCAGCGTTTCTTCCAGGCCTAAAGCACCAGGGCCACGGGAAGAAGAAGGAGGAGAAGGAGAACATGGCATGTCATTTCAAAGCTTTCATCAGGTCCTGGCATATCACAGATTGAGGGTGGGTGTGACGGGAGGGTGAGGCCTGGATGGGAAAGGCTCAGATCACCATAGGAGGGACCCACCAGATTGCTCAGTGGATAAAGGTACCTGCCACCACACCGAATGATCTGAGCCCAATCCCTAAAACCTACACAGGATGAACGTTATCATCTGACCTCCACATGTGTGTCACGGCATTTGTGCTCCACCAGGTAAATATGTAACTAAGGAATTAAGATTACCACATAAAAGAAGCCAGTTGACAGAGGAAGACTGGGAACTTGTGGCCATAGGCTACATGTAACAAAACAAGAGCGGTCCCCACAAAACAAACCCCCAAGACTCAAGTCTCTGAATCAGGAAGAAGGAAAGTGCTGTTGGTTACCTAGAAAGAATCCAGATTGTCAAGGTCAGAGGGCCTGGGGCCTGTGCTGGCTCTCCAAACACTCCATTCTCACTGTGTCTTCTATCACTAACCTGTGTCCCTAGACAAGAACCTGGAAATCTCAGCAGGCACCCCCTGGACCCATGCCTATTGGCCTAGGGGCTGTTAGACCTTTTAGGCACCTGTGGCCTACATCCCCCCCCCCCCCTTTCAGATGTCTCAGCTTGGAGATGGAAGATGGTTTTAGGACACGCTAGTGCAGGGCTACAGGCGGAGCACAACTCTTCCTTTAGTCTAGACACATACTCATAAACGCCAGGCCAGGGAGCTCTTGCAAAACCATGCAAATCTCAGCTCACAGGTTAAAGCTCTGTGAGTGAAAGCAACAACGTCATATGAAGGCAGCAGGAAAAACAAAGTTCCTGACTTTCTACAGCATGCTCTTACTACGATGTCACTGAAGGATCACTGCTGAGAAATCTTGGTGGGAATTCTCCGAGCATCTACCTCCAGGGCGTTTTCTTTTCTTCGGTCCTGTGGACTGGCATAGTTTCCCCTGAGGCTCGTGGTAGTTCTTTGCTCCTGTCAAGCATTCTATCTACATTACTGACTGAATGCATTTCTTATGTTATCTTATATTACACAGTTTAAACCTTGGCTACGTACATGCTTGTGCTGTTTCCTACACCACATCTCGTCAACAGGACCGGGTAAACTCCGAGCAGAACTGGCGCACGGTGATAGAGAACAAACCCCAAACAACCAGAAACTAAATAGAGCCGCGGAGCTTCGGGTCGAGTCCGAGCTCTCCTGCAGACACATTGCATGACTCTTCAGCTAAGTTACTTGTTTCTTTGGATCTTTCCTTATTTATGAAATGAGAATCATAACCACCACTACGACCATTTACCCTGTTTATTTGTGAGCCTAGCCTTTAACGGCTGAGCCATCTCTCCAGCACTAGAGGGTTATTTTTAAATACAAATGAGCTCATAGTAGTATAAATGTCAATAATTCATTATCACGATCATCATGACGATTCTCTCAGCCTCCGGGAAGCTGAACTAATTCTACGACACTCCACACACTCGCCTTTCATCCTTGTCCTCAGTTTGTTTCAGTGTTCAATTCTCCCAACCCTTCCTTATATTTCTTTGCTTATTTTTCCATTTCTCCAACCTCCAGCTAAGTCTACGGCTCTGCCTCTTCTGCCTGTTCTCACTTGATGACAGTCAGGCGAGGTGGGGCGAAGTAAGAGAGCTCATTGCAGACCGGCTTCCCTGAGCCTTCCCACGGGCCACTCGCAATGCCCAACAATTCTGGTGGCCTGGCCAAGGACTTCCTTGTGCTCCTTGGCAATAATCTCTGATCTCTTTATACCTCCAAAACCTCTACTCCTTTCTCATTTTAAGAGGAAATACAATCAAAAGAGATCTGATGCCACCTTAACCGAGGCGCCTGCCTCCACAGGCATGCTCCGTGGTACTGGAGAGCACAGTGGCTCTCCTAATAATCCACAGCAGACTTCTTCCCTAGGCACAGGCTCCCTCACTCCCCTGGAGCATCGCTGCAGTAACTGTGCCCTCTCTAGGGTAGTCGCTTCATCCTTCCCCATTAGAACCATTTCCGTCATCTCAGAAGACAGGTAAAAGGTGTTTTGATTCTACATTCGTCTCTCACTATGGCTCAGCTTTTCAAACTCCTTCAGTTAAGCTTCAAGCAGTTTCTATCATGCTATGTTTACTTGTTCTGTTTCCTCCTATGTGACGGCACTTTCACCAGGCTGCTCCCCGGATAACGTATCGAAGGCCTGAAGATCTCGGTGATGCTAACTTGCATCTTGGACCTTGTTGTGATCTCTCAGGCACCGTTTACAGAGGTCTGTTATTGACACACCGCCACTGACAATCTTTCCTCAGTGGGCTTTGGCATCCACTTTCAATTGTCCACTTGGTATTGCCTTTCCCGATTCCAGTGCTGTATTTTCTTTTTCCTGTTCGCGAAGCCCTAGAGTGTTCCTAAGCTCAGCTCTCAGAAGCCCTGCTTCTACAACCACCACTGGTTCAGAGCCTTCTATCTGCTGCAATTTCCCAGTGTCAGCCCCCAGCCTAGCCCTGACTGAGGAACCTGAGTCCTATACCCAGCTCGCCATGATCAAGCATTTCAAAGTCTCCATGGTCAAGCATTTCAAAACTAGTATGTTAAAAATCGAACTTCTAGCCAGGCTCAGTGGCTCACGCTTGCCATCTCAGCATTTGGCTAAGATAGGACTGCTGTCAGTCAAACGAGACTCTGCCAGACCGCCTATCTACCTCCAAAATTTGACCTTCTAATATCCCTCAGACTCTTTTTTTTCCTACCTTCTTTCCATCTTAATTATGGCTGTAACATCCTTCCTGTGTCAAAGTCAGCTACTCTCACACTCCACATTCAACCTATCAGCAAACTCTGTCAGTGAACAAGTTCAAAGCATCTCTCATTTCCCCGTTGTTCTCTGATTTCATTGTGGTTGTGTCTGTCTGTATGAAGGGTGTGCACACTACAGTGTGTGTGCATGCACAAGTGCATGCGTGTGTGTGTGTGTGTGTGTGTGTGTGAGGGGCCAGTTCTCCCCTCCACTACTTGCCTACTGAGAACTGACCTCAGGTCACCAGTGTGGCAGCAAATGCAGCGCCTCACCAGCTCACAGCTGCATTGACTTTTATACCCTTCACGATTCTATTCAACAATCTAGTCACAAAAGTGAGGCCAGAAAGCAGGGTAGGATGTAAATCAGAATCACTGGCACTTCTCCACATGGAACCACTGTCCGTCCACTCAAAGTAAAAACCATTTTCCTTACGACGGCCCCTTGGCCTAGGTTACAGTTTGGGTCTTATGTGATTCCAAAGCTTTGGTCTCAGCCTGTAATGCTGTTTTGGAGGCTGTGGGATTCCTAAGTAAAAAGGCCAAGAGAGAGGCCTTAGGTCATTGGTGACATGACTTGGAAGGGACTGTGGGACTCTCTTCTCTCTGTTTGCTCCCTAGTCTAACACAAGCAGCTTGCTCTACCATGTGCTTCCTGTGTCATAGGTACTTCCTTCCTATAGCGTAAAACAACAGGGCCAGCCCAAACCTCTAAAACTGTGGTTCAAAGTGACCCTCTTTTCCCCTCTTCATTGGCTGAGCATTGGACCCAGGGCTAGTGTTCTGTCTTTTCTCTATAGTTGACTATCTCGGGTATTACAAACACTTGACTCACACAGCCTGGTAGGCCCGAACCGAACCTCATGTCACGTCTCATTTCAGTATCTCCATTCCATTCCCGCTCTCTGGAACCTTCTTCTCATAGTGTCCCCATTCTGATTCTTTGTTCCAAGTGCTTATCCAAACGCCACACTGTTGAAGACACCGCTCCTGCCCTCCCACCTCTCCCCTCGCCTGGCTTTCCTGGTCTTAGTGGTCACCCCAGCCCAGCCCTGTGGACGGTCTGCACTCACGTGTTGGAATGTAAACAGCATCAGCACAGAGACCCTTGCTTTCTCATTTGCGGTCCCTCCTGTGGGGTTTGGAATGAGAAATGTCCTCCATAGACTCCGAAATTTTAATGCTTCGTCCCTAGTTAGGGGTGCCGTCTGGGAAGTTCGGCAAACTTTGCTGGAGGATGTGTGTCATTGGGGGCTGGCTCTGAGAGATTGCAGCTTTGCCCCCTGCAGTTTGATCTCCCTGCTTTGGTTTTGGGTTTGAAGATACATGGATTCAGTTTTCTGTTCCTGCTACCGTGCCTGTCACCTGCTGCCATGTTTTCCCCCATGATGGACTTTTATCCCTCTGGAGTCATAAGCACAAGCCAACTCCTCTATAATTGCCTTGGTCAAGGTAAATTAACCAACACACCTCCTTACTCCGATATTATAGTCACAATATTTAGAATAGTGCTGGGCACATAGAGCATGAACAATAAATATGTTCATTAGTTGATTATTTTTTAGCATAAAGTCCTTATGGCATTTACTTGGTCAAGGGAAATATACATGAGGTCTGATAAACTTTAGATTAAATTAAAAGTGAAAACTGAGGTATTACCGTATATAATAATATTGAGGAAAATAAAAACAAAAGGCGTATGACTATAGACACATAAAAATCATCCTGGTCACTGTGAAACTCTGTATACTTGTATAGATGCATCCAGCAGGTGCTATATACAGCTATATGTACACTGTATATATACAGCATATTATACAATATATATTATACAGTATATAAATACCATGGGTACATTATAAAATAGTTTTCCTAGGTCAGCTGCTGCTGGAGTTGAAGCACCCCTTCAGTGCCCGTCTCTTTGGAAAGGGCTATCCCTAAATCGCTGATGTGCAGATGCACACGTGAACAAACACAGACACCTCAAGAAGAAGAAAAGGAGGTTGGCTGTAGATACTTTAAGAGCTTCCCAGGTTCTTCTTCCAAGGAAGTAGTCCAGACCAATAAATGGCTGCTTGCAAAATGCCGATGTATTCATGGCAGCGGGCAGCGCTGTCTTAGCTCACAACC